GCTAAACCACTTAAGTATGAGAAAATTGCATTTCCTTAATTTATGTACTAGTGTGCATCTTAACCAAATCCCATCCTGATTCGTCCCTTGAAGTAGTTTACCTGTTTTGTTTTATTTTTATTTTATCAAAAGATAAAATCTTCATTAAGCAAACACCAAAGTTGAAGTCTCACTACAAGGAAACGGGTTAACTGTGATGGGAAAATTAGTCTTAAAAATTAAATTTTTTGGTCACAAATTATATTTGTATCTAAAATTTAGTTAGTCACTGTCCGTTACAAATATTGAGTCACTAAAAGTAATAGTAACTAATTTTGGAATCGTGACAACAAATCATGATTTTAGTTACGGTGAAGATGGACACAATTACTATTGTATTTGTAATGATTTTTTGCGTCACAATGATGACTATTTGTGACAAAATAATTAGACACAAAAAGGAACCTATTTGTAACATGTATAACTCGTCACAAAAGAAATTATTTGTGACATAAAATTTGGTTACTAATATTAAATCATTTGTGACGTTTCTTTTTAATCACAACTAGAATTATCTGTGTAATATCCCAAAATTTTGGGGATATTTTAGCATTAAGTAAGGGACTTATTTGAGGAAAGATATTGTTTTGGGGTTTAATCGTAAAATTTTAAAAGGTTGAGGGGCTAAAAAGAAAGGAAATTAGGATAAGGATCAACCACTTTCCTTTTTCTTTTTCTTCTTTCTTTCTTTCCTACCTCATCAGACCCGCGTTTCTGCTCTTCTTCTTTTCTTCTCCCCTGCAACCCGAGAAGAGCCCCAGCCACCGCCACCCACTTCCGGCCAGAAACACCGGTAAAACTTGGGGATTTCTCCCCCTTTTCTTGTTCTAGACCAGCTATTAAACCCAGAAATCCCAAATCTGTTCTGCTCTTCCTTCCCCTGCCGCGAGCTGCTCTTGCCGGTGGAGAGCTTCTCGGTTTTTTTCTGGTAAGGGAACAACTAAGAAATCATCCCTTTAGCTTTAATTCGAGTTGGGTTTACTTTAATTGCTTGTATTTCCCCTCAATTTTGAGGTAGGCCGAGAGCTTCTTCTCCAAACCCGTCAGCTTCCATGTTCGCCGGAACCGGCCCTTGCTTGCCGGAAAATTCTGGTAAGTTGCCGGCTCTTCCAAGTATAATTTATCCATGTAATTGTTGCCTTGTGTTGAGTGGATTTTCTGCTTTGGAATTGCCCTTTTTGCTGTCCGAAAATGGAAGAAATTTAGGTGAAATTGTGTGGGAAGGTGGAATGAATTTTGGTAGCTTTAAGCTATGTTGTTAAGTGTGGTTTAAGTAGAAAATTAGCTTATTTGAGAAATCCCGTGAATTAGCTATGTTTTGCCAATTTTGGGAGTTGAAGTTACTGTTCACGAGGGTTCACGGG